AATCTCTGTCTGTCCATTTGTACCCTTTTCTGTGTGTGTATACTCATGGCTGTATTTCTCTCAATCTGTGCATATCCCTGTCTGTATGTATCCCTTTCAGTTTGTAACCCTTTCTGTCTGTATCCCTTTCTGTGTATATCCCTCTTCTGCGTTTATTCATGTCCCTATTCATCCATTTTTTGTGTATATCTCTGTCTGTATCTATCCCCGTCAGTGCACATTCCGTCTCTAAGTCTAAGCGTCCTTGACTGTACGTGTATCCCCTGTCTGATTACATCTCAAGAGACAGTTAAGAATTTCTTGGAAGAAAAAGGAATCAAATGAGGTAGATCTAGTATAGGTACATGAAGAAGCCCACGTGATAAAGACAGTTATAAAAAGACAAATGCAGTTTTTGAAACACTTGAAACGACATCAGTTATACAAAGACAGGAGTGGACATTCCAATTTTGCCAAACAAAAGCAACAATAGTGGTAGCAGCAGCAGCAAACACAACAACAACAACAACAAAGACAAGTTACAAAAACGACGACAACAAGGACAACGACAACATCAACAACAACGGTAACAATAACATGTTCTCACTGGCAAAATTGGATCCTGTATTTACCTGTCTTTGTACACTCGATGTCAGTGGACACTAGAGTAGACCTACATCCTCTATGTGTGTGTGTGTGTGTGTGTGTGTGTGTGTGTGTGTGTGAGTGTGTGTGTGAGTGTGTGTGTGTGTGTGTCTGTCTCTGTGTGTGTCTGTGTGTGTGTGTGTATGTGTGTGTGCGTGCGTGTGTGTGGGAAAGTTCGTGTGTGTATGTGCGCGTGTGTGTGTATGTGAGCGTGGGTGTGAATTTGATTGTGAGTGAGTGTGTGTGTGTGCGTGTGCGTGCGTATGTGTGTGTATCCCTATCTGTGTAAATCCCTTGTCTTTACATTCCTGCCGGTGTACATATAACCCTGTATGCGTTCACCAGTGAGAGATGGGGACTGGATCCTTGTGTTCCGGGGTCAATCCTACAACGGGGTGTCTGTCAAGGACACCTGGGAGGCCAAAGGTCAGGCCAGTGATCTAGACTTGGTGCACTTGAACTTTGACCTCATTTCCAAGCTTGGCAACAATCAGACAGCTCACTTCCGGTCAAGGTGGCTGGACCAATGGCCCTCAGACACAATAGATCAGGTTTGTTACTACTACTACTACTACTTCTATCATATATATATATATAATCACCGCTATTATTAATGTATACCTGAAATAACAGCAGCAGCAGCAGCAGCAGCAGCAACAACAACAGCAAGAACAAGAACAACAATAACAACAACAACAACAACAAACCCCAACGAAATAATAACAGTAACAACACTGCAAATATCAACAAGAACAACAACTAATTCAGACATTGATTTGACACACCCAGCTGCGGGTGGGACATAATGTTTTTTGGTTGGGATGAAGCCATTCCGAATACCTTGCGGTCAAAGTAGGGAACATTAATTGAGCGAAATCGAATGAAATATCCCTTTTTACTTTTTTTCCCTCCTCTTTTGTCGTTAAGCGCCGAGATGAGATGCAGTTTTCTATTGTAGGCCAGCTCCGCAGTTCTTTCAGTTGGAATAATTATACAATATGATTTCTCAGGGTGTATGTATATGCGTAATGCATAAGCGTATGTCGTGTATGCATGATGTGTACAAGTGTGTGTGTTTGCGTGTATATATGTGTGTGTGTGTGTGTGTGTGTGTGTGTGTGTGTGTGTGTGTGTGTGTGTGTGTGTGTGTGAATGCTTGTGTGTATGTTTGTGCATGTTTATGTGTATATGTGTGTGCATGTTTATGTATGTTTGTGTATGTTCATGTGTATGTTCCTGTGTATGTTTGTGTGTATTTCTGCGTATATTTGTATATGTCTGTGTATTTTTTTGTGTATGTTTATCTGTATAGATGTGTACATTTGTGTGTATACCCACCAGGTGAGGTTTGAGCTGTACAAAGATGGCGCCACTGTGGTTCGCCTTGTATTTAACGGTACCGGGAGTTCCTACACAGACTGGTTCAAACAGTCCCGACTCATCCAATCCTCGTACACAGACCTGATGAATGCCACAACCAAGTTCTTCTCTCTCAAAGGGTGAGTTATTGTTGTTGTTGTTATCATCATCATCATCATCATCATCATCATCATCATCATCATCATCATCATCATCACGATGGGGAGTACCGTTCTCAACAAAGACAGCCACAACCAATGGGGAAGCTCTGCAGCCGACACCAAAGTCACTGCAAAGAGGCACCTCTACTCGCCAATCAGGGAGAAGACATCAAGAAGATCTGTCCTTTGGCAACAAGCACGTCCCAGCGTGTTTTTGGAGAGCGGGAGCAGACTCCCAGTCGCTGACTTCCGCATTCCTGATCCTCAGATCAAGACTGGAAAAACCACAATCTACTCTGGATACAGAAAGATCAGATTGAATCGTGCAGGTGACATTGAACTAAACCCGGGACCAGAGGAGCTGGTGCGGTGTAGCGAGTGTGGGGTTGCATTTAGCGAAGCCAATATACCAAAAGCTAAGATATGTAATCAGGAGGGGTGTGAAGAAAGAACACACAAAGGGCCAAAATGTGAGGTGAGCCTCCACTGGGTAGCGACCAACCAGCAGGAATCCCATCAAGATCTGCAAAAGTACATTGCTTGAGTTGCAATGAGACTATCCGTAAAACTTATAGAGGTTCTCAGCGCCTGAGGTGTATTGAGTGTGGGAAATGTTACCACAAGAAACCAGAATGTTGCAAGATGATTTGTATCAGGTCAGCTGAAAACAACACCAACAGATGCGCTGCGCTATGAGACCAGAACTGACCACTGCACCACCTATACAAAAAGAACATGCCTCAAGTCTGTAGAGATGGCTAAGAGATTACCAGACAACCATCCTAGAAAGAAAGCCCTTGATCAAGCAGTCGAGCCTAAAAACAGCAGGAAAAGTTAGTTTCGGATGGGCACCGATCTAGCAGACCACCTCCCCCCTGGAGCAGAGAATCGATGGCCGATCAATCTGATGAGAGCTTGTCCATGGCGAGATCGAAATTCGGACAGAACTGAGAGGAGTAAAAGGAAAAGGTGATGATCCCGTAAAGGCACGTGAAGCAGCTGAGGATGTAATCAAAGAGGTTGGTGCGGATGTGACAATTTTCACCGATGGATCGGCTGTCGCAGGATACCCTGAAGGTGGAGCAGCAGCAGTGGTGATAATGAATGATGAACCACCACGAACAGAAATTATTAAAACTAAAGATGCATTCCTTACATCATCTTATGACGAGGAATGCCAGGCAATGATGTCTGCTGCACAG